CACCATCAGAACCATAGAACCACCATCAGAACCATAGAACCACCATCAGAACCATAGAACCACCATCAGAACCATAGAACCACCATCAGAACCATTGTCCACGCTGGGAACATCTGAGCCAGGAGGTTCTAGAAGAACCCAGGAGTTCTGCAGGCCTTGTTACCTGAGTTTGGGTCAGGGTTCTGGGCAGATCTGGACTGGTTTTGGATCAGCGCCAGTCCTGCTTCATGCTTCTAATCTGGAACCATTCGGTTCTCCTTAGGGTGGAGCTTATTCTAGAACGTCAGCTTCTAACCGTAGCATAAAGGGTTAATTATTGGAGAAGCAGAAAATAATCCAGAAAAAGTGTCTTTGGTGATGAGACCAAATCAACCGTTTCAGAACCAGAACTTTCTCCCTACAGTCAGACATGGTGGAGGTGGAGTGATGCTGGTTTGAGACCTTCAGCTGGTCCATAGAATCCCCTTCTGAAATGTTTGGGAGCGGCCTAGTCAAAGTCTGAGACGTTTCAAATGGGTCTGAACCGTAGAACTATAACCTACAGATGAGAAGCGCTTCAGGAAGGCGACCAGCCCCCCCCCCGTTCAGACGGAGACAGGAAACAGCTCAGTTTCATTTCCTGCTCAGAGAGGCGAAGTCAGAGCGGAGCAGAACAAACCCGTCTGACTCAAACTGGATCAGACCAGTGAGGGATCCAGCTGACTGGGTCAGTCTGGTTCTGTTAGTTCTAAGGAACAGGAGGGCTGTGACATCACAGATCAATGATGGCGCTGAGAACGAGGCCGCCGCTCTGCTGGGAGCTGATTGGTTCTGCCTTGGTCTCTGTTTCCTGTCAGAGGTGCTTCTGACTGTCCGTCAGGTTCAGTCATGTGAGCTGCGGTGCGGAGGGGGAGGGGTCAACAGGAAACAGGAAGCTCATCATCAGAGGGAGGAAGTGATGCTTGGTCACATTCGTCCTTTAAAAATAACACAGAGGAGATTTTTTTCATCACAGAACCGGAGAAGAAGCAGCGGTTTTCCTGAACAGAACCTCCACTCCCATTTCTCCCAGTATAAAAACACCAGTTAGATCAAAGTTCCTACTGTTCAATCAGAGGCTGCCCCCTGCAGGACGGAGGCTGAACCACAACCACTCAGATTTCTCTCTTATGTTTCAGGGATTGATTTTAAGATCCGGACGGTGGAGCTGGACGAGAAGAGGATCAAACTCCAGATCTGGTGAGAGCCGCTCAGGAATAGTTCTGCTTGGTTAAAGAAATAATCAATCGATCATTATTTACACCTGAAACCAAAACATTTGCAGGGATTTAATGAATTTAGCTTTAATCAGTAAAAAACTAAAAATAATTTCGTTGTGATCACTGAGTCTGGGAGCGGCCATTTTTGCCCAAATATAGTAACCCCTCCCAGCACTGGGACTTGATCAGCAGCCGATACCGCACCGTGACAATGTCACTAACCAGTAGGTGGCAGTAGTGTTCTTTGACAAACATGGATGCCTCCAGTAAAGCACATTCACATGAAAAT